AACATGATCTCTTATATGTCAATATGTTTCGTCATTGAGTGAAGAACGTGGTTCTTCGTCAAGCTTATGGCGCTAGTATTATCACATTAAAGAGGAACGTGATCGATACTAAGCCATAGTCCACTAGTTGTTGCTTCATCCAAATGATTTGAGCACAACAACCCTGGCAGCGACGTATTCCGCTTCGGTTGTGGATAATGCAACACTGACTTGTTTCTTACTAAACCATGAGACTAAAGAACTACCAAGCAAGTGACATGTCCCACTCGTACTTTTATAGTCCAACTTGCAACCGGCAAAGTTCGACTCGGAGTATCCAACGAGATGACATGAGGAGCCTTTTGGATACCATAGTCCAACGTTAGCCATTCGAACAAGATATCTCATGATCCATTTTGCCACTGTTAAGTGCAATTCCTTCGGACATGATTGATACCTTGCGCAAAGGCATACGCTAAACATAATATCCGGCCTACTAGCTGTAAGATAAAGAAGGGATCTGATCATACCTCGATACTTTTTAACACCTACTTCCTTACCTTTCTTGTTGTTGTCAATATGGTCGGATGTGCTGATAGGAGTTGTCATGGCTTTGGTGTTGTCCATTTCGAACCGTTTTAGCAGTTCCTTACAATACTTAGTTTTGCAAATGAAAGTGCCATCTCTCATTTGCTTTACTTATATGCCCAAGAAGCATGTGAGCTCACCCATCATTGACATCTCGAACTCACTGGTCATTACCTTGGAAAATTGCTTGCACAAAGACTCGTTAGTAACACCAAAAATAATATTCTCTACATAAACTTAAACCAAAAGGATGCTATTGTTTTTACTCTTGATAAAAAGTGTAGTATTAACTTTTCCCCTTTGGAAACCACTATCTAAAAGAAATTTACTCAAACTTTCGTACCGAGCACATAGTGCTTGTTTAAGATCGTAGAGTGCTTTCTTGAGTCCAAAGACATGATCGGGATACTCAAAGTCTTCAAACGTCGGGGGCTGGTCGACGTACACTTCCTCTTGAATAAAACCATTGAGGAAGGCACTCTTAACATCCATTTGATAGAGTTTAAAATCCATAGACGAGGCAAAAACAAGAAATAAACGTATAGCTTCTAAGCGTGCTGCGGGTGCATAAGTTTCTTCAAAACCAATACCTTCTTCTTGATTGTAGACTTTAGCTACACGCCTAGCTTTGTTTCTAGTAATTATACCGTTTTCATCTAGTTGTTACAAAACACCCATTTCGTACCAAAAATCGTACGATCATTGGGCCTTGGCACCAATTCCCAAACGTCATTTCGTTTGAATTGGTTTATCTCCTCTTGCATAGCCAAGGTCTAATGTTTATCGTTTATTGGTTCGGAAATGGTTGCAGGTTCAGTTTGAGAAACAAATTCCATGCGTCCTACGGTGTCCCTAAGAGAGTTTTGAGTACTTACCTCTCAATTTATCTTGTTGATTACCTGATCAAGAGGGTGGTTTCTGTTTGTTCTCCATGCAATGGGAAGCTCGGTCTCTTCTTCATCTTGTTCCTATTCTTCCTCTTGCTCTTCTTCTTCCTCTTGTTGTTCCTCACCTTGGGGAGTTTCTTTAGTTGTCTCTCCAGTTTGTGGCTGTGTATTGGTGTTTTTATCTGCTTCTTCTTCATCATCTTGGATGTGTATTATTTCAAGTGAATCTGCAATATCGTTGCAAACATCCTTTCTCGCCAAGCGAGTATTATCCTCGAAATACACAATATGAGGGGACTCCTCAATGGTCAAAGTACGTTTATTGATTACCTTATAGGCCTTGCTATGTAATGAATAGCCATGAAATTTTTTTCCGTCTGACTTAGCATCAAATTTGCCCAAGTTATCTTTTCCATTGTTATGAACAAAACATTTGCAACCAAAGACTCAAAGATGGGAAAGGGTTGGCTTGCTCCCTTTGTATTGTTCATGAGGCATTTTCATGAGTATCGGTCGAATGACGGCTCGATTTAAAACGTAGCTCGCGGTACTCACGGCACCCGCCCAAAAATACTTAGGGATTTTTGCCTCATTGATCATAGTTCTAGCCATCTCTTCGAGACATCTATTTTTACGTTCCACCACTCTATTTTGTATTGGTGTACGTGGGGCTGAGAAGTTATGATCAATGCCAAGTTTGTCACAAAAATAAAAAAATAGGTTTCGTTCGAACTTTCCCCCATGGTCGCTTCTTATGGCTACGATGGTGGTGTCTTTTTTGTTTTGAACTTTCTTTAGAAAATTTTTGAAAACATGAAATGCCTCACTTTTTTGAGTAAGAAACAAGGTCCATGTAAACCTAGAGTAGTCATCAACAATCACAAACACAAAGTAATTACCACCGAAACTTTTGGTTCTAGAAGGGCCAAAGAGATCCATGTGCAAAAGTTGAAGCAGTCTAGATGTTGGAACAACATTCTTAGACTTAAACGAAGCCTGAACTTGCTTCCCCTTTTGACATGCATCACATATGGTATCTTTTTTTAACTTAAGTTTTGGGATACTAATTACTAAGTCTTGTGAAACCAATTTATTCAAAAGGTTCATGTTCATATGAGCTACCCTTAGGTGGCATAACCAAGTATCTTCCTTTTTACTCATGAGGAATTTTGCAAAGTCGGAAGGGGATTTATCTAAGTTAACCATATAAATGTTATCAATTCTATCACCACGTAAAATAACCTTATTGTCACTAAGGCGTTCTACCGTACATGACTTTGAATCGAAGGTCACACGCTTTCCCTTATCACACAATTGACTTATGTTCAAGAGATTGTGTTTGAGACCCTTAACAAGCAAGACATTATCTAGTTGATACTCAAATCTAGACCTGTCTTCTTGTCGTCATCAGCCCTGCCGTTCATAAGCATGCTCGTGGTTTCACCACCTCTGCCGCCTTGTGGGAAGCATTAGCACCAAGGTATAAATTAGTTTCCACCGCTCATATTTATCAACTTTGTGATAAGCTACATACTCTCTGGAAAGGTACCAAATCTATGTCTCAATATCTTGATGAAGTCGTAACAATTCTTGTTGATCTTGATGCTTTAAGTGAACACATTCCTGAACGAGATGTCATCAATGCTGTTATTTGTGGTCTTCCTTCCAAATATTCTTCATTCAAACAAAACATTCGTCTGCAAAATAGCGACATCACTCTCAATTAGCTCTCTGATAGCTTACTTTTGAGGAAATTAATCTTGAGATGGAGCAAAAATTGAATCTAGCCGATTCTTCCTCTAGAGGGCCGCATAATGCGTTGCTTGCTACAAACGGTGGAGGTCGTGGTCGAAGAGGGTACTGCGGCCAGACGCACGTGACAAAATATGCGTGTGAGCTTCTACGTAGAGCAGGGGTGTCTGAATGTCTTCTGGCCGTTACTCCCATGACCACTAAATCTGTCCTCAAGCCTTTTGTTTCTTTTAAGGATCCCTCTCATTTCCGGAGTATTGTTGGTGGTTTACATTATTTAGCTGTTACTTGTTCGGATATTCAGTATGTTGTCAATTGGGTGTCTCGTGACTATGCACAACCCCACTGGGAAGGATTAGCACGCCTTGCAGCGTATCCTCCGCTATCTAAAAGGTACTTTACACCTTGATCTTCTTTTTTGCATGGGGGATTCAATCTGTCTGTTTATTCTGATTATGATTGGGCAAATGATAAAGATGATCGCAAGTCTACCACTGGTTACATCCTCTTGTCCTAATCTCATCTCTTGGTGTACGAAAAAGCAGACCCGTGTTTCTAGATCTTCCACTTACGTTTAGTGTCGTGTTGTGGCTGCAGGCGTGGACAAAGCTATGTGGCTTATCTATACTATTGATGTGCTGGGCATTCCTCCGAAACCATGCTTATACTGTGATAATGAATCAACTAGTAAAAATCCAGTTCTCTCTATGACCGTATGAAGCATATTGGTTCAGATTGTCACTTTGTCTGAGATGAAGTAATGACAGACACTATGACTTCACATCATGTTCCCTCTTCAGAACTACGGAGTATTAGCAGACATTCTCACGAAGCCGCTTCCACCGGTTCCATTAGTACGCGTACTAATGCTCCAATCAAGCTGCACCTCGTCTTTGCTGATCAGCTTGCGGGGGAATATTAGGAAATGGATTATTATTAATTAATTTTTCCTTGTTTCTTTGATTCCTTATTGTATTTGTTTACTTTATTCCCTTTCCTACTGAGATTGGAACTCTCTCACTGTAAGAATGTATCATTCATTATTCAATAAGAGTAGTAATTATTATCAAATTGTATCAATAGAGCAAATTTTTTTTATATTGTTTTTTGGTATTGTTTTGGAAATTTTAACATAAAATTCTATTTTGGTATTTCCTTAATATTCTATTTCTACTTTGGCATTTCTTCCAATGGTAGTGTAAATTTCATTTCCTTATTTGAATGGTAATGACCTCGAACGAGTAAAACAATTAATTTGAAAAAGACCGAATCTTAATAAATCTCCGCATTCGTTAAAAAATTAACACAACAATTAAAATAAATGCCATAATTGGAAATACTAAAGAATCGTATGGAAATAAGGAAATGAATCTAAACGATAATTATATCATTTGACTTAATGCACGCACAGCGTGAATTTAAATGGGAATAAATTATAATTGGCCAAAAAATTAATTATAGGCACAAAAAGTGCGTCTTCTTTTAAAAGTATGTGCCCTAAATAGCCAGCAAAAAAGCCAACCGTATATGCAATCCTCCCCCTCCCCCCTTCACCATTCTTATATATATATATATATAAATCACATCTTCCATCTCCTTATTGTCTCTCTGATTTTGTTCCTCCTGCTCTAATCATCATTTTATTATTATTAAGATAAATAATATATCAAAATAATTATACTTTATAGTATAAATATATAAATAAATTAAATCTCCTATTAGTTTTAATATATATATATATATATATATATATATATATATATATATATATATAATAGTAGTAATAATAGGTGTTTAGTGTGTGTGTGTGTGTATCTGATATGGGTGCCATTGGAGGAGACACCAAGGATAAGGTTGTTGTTGTTGGGGAAATGAAGCTTGAAAAGATGCTAAGCATGAAAGGGGGCAAAGGAGAGGGTAGCTATGTCAACAATTCTGAAGCACAGGTAATTATTATTATTGCATCCCACCAATCATTCCCTTTTTTCCGTTCCTGAAAATATGAGAGCTTTTAATTGTATAAAGATTTAAGAGGAGTGTTGGTATTGAGTTTTAAAAAAGATTTCGGATGCGATATGTTAAAGTATGATTTGGTGGATAGATTAACTATGAATATATGTATTATAATAGTTAGGTTAAGAATTAATACGAGTAAACGTAAATTTTTCATAGAAATAAAAAATATTTTTTAGGAGGAATGAAAAAAGAAAAAGAAAACTTGGGGGAAGGGAGTATGTTTTGAATTTCCCAGACACGTCCTTTCACTGTCTAACTTTAACTTGTTCCTTGTTACAGTAGTACGGAGCGGTGATTTTATTGCTGGGTTTTTTGGTCAAAATAAGGAAACTTTTCATTTGAATACATAGAGGGCATATAAAAATAGAGAGTTGCTATATCCCTTTTCAATTTTACCTTCTCCATATCTAAAAGACTGCGAGAGCTTCATTTTTCTTGTCAAATTATGACATCTTTGGCTAGTTTAAAATAATTAAATAATACTCCCTCCGTCCCAAAAAGAATGGGACGGTTTGACTTTTTGGAAAATTAAGGGAGAGATATTTTAAAATTGACTTTCCAAAAATACCCTTGATGTGATGGCTAAAAGTAGGATGTGATTGATAGATTATTAGAAAAAAAGTATGATGTGATAGGTAGGGTATGAAAAAGTAAGGGGTAAAAGTGGTTTTTAAGGGAAAAGAGAAGTTTATTTAGGGACAAAGAAAAAACGAAAGAGGAACTTTCTTTAGGGACGGAGAGAGTATTTTAAAATAAATCTAATTTTACTATATTTACATTATAACTAAATATATTTTTCTCATAAATCGCAATCAAATAATGTCATGGTTTGACCAAAAAAGTCAAACTGCGACAATATTTTAGGGACAAAGGCAATATTAAATTTACTTCATTTATCATAATAAATAGTCAATTTTGTCCTTAAAAATACGAAAGGGAAAATTTTGATGCAACCCACCATTTAAGTAGGGGTGTAAACGGATAATATCCGTTTAAGTTTAGGAATATCCGAATCCGTATCCGTATCCGGCAGATATTTACTATACTATATCCGAATCCGTATCCGACGGATAATTATCAGTTTCGGATATATCCGAATCCGATTAGATATCCGAAAGTAACCGAATATCCAAATCCGATTAGATATCCGAAAGTAACCGAATTTGAAAATATCTGAGTCCATTAAAAAATCCAATTAGATATCCAAATCTATTTATAAATAAATTAAACACAGTCCAAAACTGTAATTGAAGTCCATAATACATTAATACCAAAAAAAACTTTAGGATACAAAAAAACAATAGTCAATATTTTACCAAATATCTAATAATACGAACAAAAATATAAATTTCTAATCGATAAAGTACAAATTGTATTTAATACATCTCAAAATTCTCTCAAGAAGATAATCTTTGATGCATCCAAAATTGCAAGTTATTTCACTTGCTTCATACTTCAAAACCCACAATATACCAAACCTGTTAACATGTTGTCATGTTTTGAAGTACTCCCATCCAAAAAAGGAAAAAAAGAATTTTTAAAGAAACACCCGAAAAAGAAAAAAATGTATTATCCCATTGTATAACCCTTAATTGTTTATTTAATCATTACCATTTGATACATTTATGAACTATGATCCTAATATAAATAAGTTTTTTAATAAGCCATAAGCCTATTTGCCTATAACTATTTGCCAATAAATTTGCCTACTATATTCGGATCGGATTTTAAACGGATCGGATATACAATTACCATATCCGTATCCGTTTAGTAATCAGATACCTTTAATCGGATACGGATAATATCCGTTTAAAACGGATACGGATATTCCTTCTTTAAACGGATACGGATGCGGACGGTAAACGGATTTTCGGCTATCCGTTGACAGCCCTACATTTAAGGATGAAATTGTCGGTTCAATATTAAAAAGAAATATAGCAAAGAAAGAGTGGATTTAGCATCTTCCATAAAAATATGGTAGTTTTATTATAATTTTTAAATATGTAATCATATGTTTAATTTCTTGCCCTTTTAAATAAATTAATTTGAAAAAATAACTTCAATCAAATATATTTTTAGACAGAAGGAGTATAACAAATTTTTAATCTTTAAATTAAAGCAAGTTAAAAATATTTAAAAACTTAGCATGGAGAGCAATATTATTACCCTAATTCGATCATGTTTTTTGAAGTGAAATAATTATTCATGTTAATTATGTGCAGGCAAAACATGCAAGGACAATGGTCCCCCTCCTCAAGGAGACCCTAGACCTGGTCAAATTGGGCCCGCCGGACCTCCCCTTTGTCGTCGCCGATCTCGGCTGCTCCTGCGGCAGCAACACCATCCATGTCGTCGGCGTGATAGTCAAGCACATTGTCGGCCGCTACGAGTCCTCCCGGCAAGACCCGCCGGAGTTCTCCGCCTTCTTCTCCGACTTGCCCTCCAACGACTTCAACACCCTCTTCCAGCTTCTGCCGCCTCTTGCCAGCAGCGGCAGCGGCGGCAGCTTGGAAGACTGCTTGGCGTCCACCACCCACCGTTCCTACTTCGCCGCCGGTGTTCCTGGGTCGTTTTACCGCCGTCTCTTCCCCAAGATGTCCGTTGACTTTTTCTACTCGGCATTTTCTTTGCACTGGCTATCTCAGGTCATCTTCTAAATGCTATTGAAGAGGGATAAAATAATTTAAGTGTTATTTAAAGAAATGACTTAAATTTTAGTGCTATTTACTGTAAATATATAAATGGATAATTTGGTTTGACAGAGGATGTATCAAGTGATGAAATTTCAATACAGGTTCCGGAGAGCGTGGCGGACGGCGGAGGGGCGGCGTACAACAAAGGGAGGATTTTCATCCACGGCGGAAAGGAGGCGGCGGCGAGGGCATACGGGAAGCAGTTCAAGAGTGACTTGGCAGGGTTCCTGAGGGCCAGGTCAGTTGAGATGAAGAAGGGTGGGTCCATGTTCCTGGTCTGCCTGGGCAGGACGTCGGTGGACCCCACTGAGCAAGGTGGGGCCGGGCTTCTTTTTGGGACCCATTACCAAGATGCTTGGGATGATCTTGTCCATGAGGTAATCAATTGTCATCCCAAATCATAAAACTCTTTAGGACTTCAATGTCCTACCCTGTGGCGGACTCCCAAAAGGAGCTGTGTCAACAATTATGGAACCAGAACCTTTCGGGGGTAACGTTATCGTTTTGGATAAAATTTTCAAGGTGCAGATTACTTTGAAAACGGTAATGCTAAACGCTACTTGTAGATAATTTTTTCAAAATGTTAAAGAGCATCCCACATCGGAAAAGTGTGTGAAAATTAATCGGTATATAAACTCTTGAGTTGAACTAACTAATCGATTGGATTCAATCTTTTAATGTGGTTCCCAATCCAGTTGTCCATACTCATCCTAAATTCTATCACAAAACACTAATGTTAATCTCTAATGTTATTCTCAAACAGACAGTAGAAACGTACCTCATCTAACTATAGTCCTTTCTTCATGCTTCTTTTGCGCGCCCTCTTTTTGTATCCTCCCTTATATGATGACTCTTCTTTATTTGTTTTTTTAATATATCAACTAATCAAAATATCTCACATTTTTATTCATTCACTTTTTGTTTTGAGTCCACTTTTAAGTCTAACCATTTTTCACTCACACTCTCATCCCCTTTCACGTGAAACCTACGTGGCATGTGGTAATAAAGTCTCTTCAAGTCCCAACTACGGAGTAAAAAAATGGCCTTGGCTAATAAACATTAATTCTTACTCCCTCCGTTTGCAAAAAAAACTTCCCATTTTGATTTGCGGTAAAAATAAGAAAGTGTTAAATTATAGTTGATTTCCCATTTTGCCCTTGATGTGATAGGTAAACGTAAGATATGATGGATAGATTATTAGAGAAAAAGTATGATGTGATAGGTAGGGTATGAAAAAGTAGGGGTAAAATTAGTTTTTTTAATAGAAAAGCGAAGTGTTTTGTTGGAAGTGGAAAAAATGAAAGATGAAGTGTTTTTTAGAACGGAAGGAGTATTAAAAAAAGATCTCACATTACTTTTACGGGGTAGATTTTAGGCAATAATCAAAATAGACTAATATACCCATCACATCTATTTTTACCTATCACAACCAAGAATATTTTTGAAAAATCAACATCAAAATAAACTATTCTGAAATTCCTTAAAATTTAAAACAAGAAATGATTTGTGGGACGGAGGAAGTTCCAAATTTTACTCCCATCCCGCTATATCTCTCAAAAAATTTTATACTTTTTTAAGAATGTCTAAAAATCAACTTCATTCTTCTCAATTTTCTCTTTTTAGAAGCAAATACAGAGTATATGAATATCATTATTATTCTCTATTACAAATAAAATTCAGCCTTTCATTTTCAATTTTACTATTTTTTCAAAACTTCATAATTTTTGTGAATATTTATAGAAGTATTTATTGAAATTTATTTTGTTATAGACAAGGTAATTAATTAATTAGGATAGTGGAGCATAAACAAAAAAGATATAATGGCTTTTGATTTTATTGTCGGCATTCCGACACCCAATATGAATGGTCTACATATTATTGTTTCTACGTACTACGGAGTACTAATTAATAAATAAGCCAGGGTGGAATTTGTTATCCTTTTTCATCATCAGTCCTTACTGTAATTCTATAATATTTCAAAGCATCAATAAATCCTTTTGACTTGGGGTATACTATAGTCATTTCATTTCTGTCACTAAAATTGTTTTTGTTTTTCTCAGAATTGTTTTTGTAAGAGTAAAAGTGGTTTTTTAATAGAAAGTGGAAGTGTTTTGTTGGAAGTAAAAAAAATGAAAGAGGAACAGTTTTTGAGAACGGAGGGAGTATAAAATATTTTCAAAATATTATTTAATCTACTTAATATACAACATACTCCCTCCGTCTCATAAAGATGGGTACATTTTGACTAAAGTAGAAATTAAGGGAAAGATAATTTTGTGTTGACTTTCCAAAAATACCGTTGATGTGATGGGTAAAAGTGAATTTTTAATAAAAATGGGTAAGAGATTGTTGGACGCAATTTTTTTGAAACGTGTAAATCTTTTTGGGACGGAGGGAGTATTTTTAATTTAATTATAGGTCAAAGTTAAAAATCTAATTAAAAAAATCATAATTGGACAAACATTTAGAAACTAAATGAATTAAGTGAGTAATGTGTTATAATATGGCAGGGCTTAATTACAAGCGAGAAACGAGACGGGTTCAACATTCCGGTATACGCGCCGAGCCTCCAAGATTTCAAGGAGGTGGTAGAAGCCGACGGCGCGTTCAAAATAAACCAGCTGCAACTGTTTAGAGGCGGCAGCCCGCTAGTGGTGAGCAACCCAGACGACGCGGCAGAGGTGGGACGCGCCTTCGCGAACAGCTGCCGGAGCGTGAGCGGGGTGCTGGTGGACGCCCACATCGGCGAGGAGCTAGGGGAGGAGCTGTTCGTGCGGGTGGCGCGTCGAGCCACGAGCCACGCGAAGGAGATCTTGGAACAGCTCCAGTTCTTTCATGTAGTGGCTTCTCTTTCGCTTGCCGCCACGTGTACGTAGGTGGGCGACGTACGAGAAAAGCGTATTTGTCGTTTATTTAGTCTGTATTCTTTCTCTTTTTTTAAAAAAAAAGTAATTGTCTTTTTTTTAGGATTATACTACGTGTACCCAAGGTTTGTACCCCAATTTGTACCCCACAGTTTTGCACCAACACTTTGTGTTGGTGTAAAACTAATTTTTGTTAAACGCACCAACATTTATGTCCGTGTGAATTTTTATTAACGCACCAACACTTGTGTCGGTGTAAACCATCGAAATGTTTGTGCAAATCTGTAGTGTACAAATGGGGTATATTTTTTGGTGTAAGTGTAGCATGGTCCTTTTCTTTATAATGAAAATAGTTTGCCCAATGTACTTTAGTACGTAAAAGACTGAAGAGGTACTCCTTAGTCCTTTTGGTTGTTTTTTGGTGTCCTTGATTTCTGTTGATTCAGGGGGGCATCTTATGATCACTAGATCTTTACTGTCTCCAACAGGCAGTTGCAGTATGAATCATAACACAAAAATGTTTAGAAATCCACCACTCTTTTTCCAATGGATAACAATCTCTTCACAGTAAGAAACTAAAAATCTTGAGAAGACTGGAAAAATGAGAGAACAAACACAAAAAATATATGAGAAAAAAAATTATATTTTCATATTTCGTATACATAAAATTTCTCCCTATGTTTACGAGGCTAATTTCTAGACATTCATAAATAGATCTTTTCACACCCTATGTATTTTTCTGAGTAACTAAGGCCCCGTTTGGCATCAGCATCAGAGATTAGCGTTAGCGTTTTGAAAAAGCTATCCGACGGTAACCTTTAGCGTTAGCGTTTTCAGAATTAATCTGCACCGTTAAAATTTTATCCAAAACGCTAACGCTAATAGAAAACGCTGTTACCAAACAAAGCCTAAATGCCAGTTACTTCTTACACCCACTCACACTTACCGAGACCCCTTATATTTTTTCGGTGCTATTCTTGTTTAGAAACCCTCTTCTCTTCACTCTCTCTCGGGTGGTATGTAAACCACCCACACACCACTACACTTCGGTAGAGCGCTAGCCCTTGTTATATAGCCAAATGGAATAACCATACAGATAGAGAAAAGATCAACAAAGACATGCTACCTAGGTTACAAAGGAACACCAATCCCTGCCGCCAAAAGCAAGATCACCAAACTGGATTACATGTCCATTCACTACCTAATTTTCCATTTACTTTCTTTTTCTAGAAATCTCTTAACTAAAACATAGAGAAGAGTACTAAAATAGGACTTTTTTTAAATAGAACTTTGCACTGTGGTAATGTGACTTTGCACTGTGGTAATTGGTAGTGTACATGTGCACATTACTATACTTTTTTAGTAATGTATATGATCATGTTTGGTAATTTAACGTAAGTCCTATTTCAGGAATAAAAACATGGAAATCCTATTTTGGTATAATTTCAATGTTTTAGTCCTACTCTGGTCTTTCTTCCTTCTTTTTCTTTGTTCTTGTCTTCTTTTCCATTTATTTTTCTTCTTTTCTTTTCTTGATTATTTGATCAAATTTCCCAACAAACTCCACCGTGACTAAATAATCAAAGAATCTATAGCCTCACCTCACTTATCCCGTGAGATCACTGCTATATCGAAAGAAAAAAAATCTACTTTGGCTCCAACTCGTTTGCTCCTCGAGATCACCGCCACCTTAAAGAAGAAAAGAAAGTCCCCTGGCTCCACGGAGACCACCACCACCTTGAAGATATTTTTTGCGAGTAGCTCCATCTTGCTTCAATACCGCAAGATCTATGTCACTTGTTTTGTCTCCATTGCTCCACATTGTCAAGTACCACAATGTCCTTGCCGCTTTCTGTTTCCGTTGCACCCGTAACTCAATCTCAACCAACCTCGTCAAGATCACCGCCACTACCTCAGCTCCCTAGAGTTTTAACCCTCCACATCGAGCTAAAAAAACTGACAACTCGCCTTCACTACAAAAAAACCGCGTAATTGGCATGGAATTATAGGCACGGACGTTCCGTGCCTTCACCGAGGGAAAAAATTAACGCCACGCGTCGCTATTTAATACATGAAGGGCGTTGGCTCTGGCTTTTCCGTGCCTACGTCCGTGCCAACACCGTAATTCTAAAACCGTCACCGGCTTCACTCGACAGTGTTAAGTCCAAAACATAGGCACGGACTGTCCGTGCCTACGGTCGATACTAGAACCTTCTCTGACAAAGCCGTTGACGAGCTTTACGTAGGCACGGATATTACCGTTCCTATACCCTACCGTGCCAAAATCCGTGCTAAGTTAAAGCATATTAAAACCCTTTCATTCGATCAGTCTCATTTTTTCACAAACTCCCCAACCCTTCCCCATTCTCCTCCAACGCCGCTGCTATTCTCCCCCGCCCTTACCCGAGCCCGTCCTCAGCCATCTCAGATCCATCTCTTCTCCCTTTGTAACAATGTTTTTTTCAAGAAACACTTCTTCTCGGGGGAGTATCTGTGGCCGGGGTGGGGTAGCCTTCGCTGAGCGCCCACGGTTCATCACCAAGTCCGATATGAAGGGGTAATTTTTTTTACAATATTTATTTTTTCTCTTTCAATTTTATTTTTCAAAAATTAATTACTTTATTTTTCCAATTTTTTTCGTTCAGCCAGCAACCGGTCATAACCTAATTCAATTTTTTACTTTATGTGAATAATTTAATTCAATTTTTTTAATAAGAGGAGGAGGAGCATGACACGCCCAATTTCTTCAAGGTCGTCAACAGGTTGTTTTTGAAGAAGGCAAGTTTTTGAATTCCCTTACTCTAAATTATTAACTTTCATCTTTAATAAAGTTTAAATTGTTTTTACTCTTTTTTGTAGAGAAACAGGAGAATTATTAACTCAATTGAAGGATTCAGTCAATTTTTTTGACCCAAGGCATGTACTCGTCTCAAGTTTGGCCGCTCATGAATTCGAAGTCCGAGCCCAAAATTCATACATAATTCTAATAACTGTGATGTTAAAAGTTATTTAAATCATGAAAATTTGTAACTTTTATTTTTATGTAAAATTTGCACTAAATAGGACTAAAACATAATGACTTTCTCAATGTAGGACTTAAACTTTTTTATTCCCTAAATAGGACTTAATAATGACCTAATGGGAGGAATAATGTCCTCTAATGATGGACATTTACTTGAATAATGACTACTTGATAATGACCAAAAGTCCTACATTGGGAAATAAAAACATATGATCCTATATTGGGAAAGTCATTATGTTTTAGTCCTATTTAGGTAAATTTCTCTATTTTATTTGTGAGATGAATGTGGTATGAACATATATTATTTGTTGGATGTGATGAATATTATTTGACATTTTATTTTAATTTAATTAATCATTTATGTTATTATGGTGTGAATATTAGATGCTTTTATTATATTGTTAAATTTTATAAATTGCCGAATTTGATTTTTTTTTAAAAAAAAATTTAGGCACGGACAGTTCCTTGACAAAGGGGCCAATATTTATTATTTCGAAAAATTAATTTTCAAATTGTGAAAATTTGAAAAGGCACGGAATGGTAACAACACTCGTTTGGCACGGCGAGATCCGTGCCTATAAACATTGACGTTTTCCTTCAAACCGTGAGTTTGGAATGGTGTCGGTACGAGTAATTCCGTGCCTTTCTATGGCACAGACAAGAAATCTGTGTCATAAGTTTTGGAGCTTTGAAATTGGCAGGTCTTTTCATCCGTGCCAAAGTCCGTGCCTAATGGTATTGCCACGGAAAATTAAAATTGACGTCCATGCCAAAATCCGTGTTAATAACGCGTTTTTTTGTAGTGCTTCTCTTTCACACTCCAGTACAAACGAATCTGAGACCACCACTTTAGCAATTAGTTTATTTCGATCCACCCACCATGCACCGCCATAACAACACCAGCAGGATGCGCTGCCCGACCAACTTTCTCGCCGAAAAGGCTTTCGACTCATGGCATAAATCGCAGATTTCCACTCTGCTGGACCACATGCCTCCTCCGGCCCTATTCCCGTACCATACATCACAAATTCAGCATGTCGTTCTGTACCTAGTCCCCATATCATCCAGTTCCTGAAGTCCCATGGTCACCTACTTGCCCAAACCAGCTATAAGTTCGTGGGGGCAGCAAAAATCTCTAATAAAAAGATATGTAAACAGGTCAATCAAGCAGGTGACATGCTGAACGCTATAACACCTTCTCCATCACATGCACACATGCAAAATATAAAGAAAAAACACTAAGCAAGACACAATGATTGTTCACGCAGTTCGGAACAAATTCTCCTACGTCTTCGGGGCCCACTTGTGTGTAACAACCCATCACTAAATCATCGCAAAGATTACACCAATCAATCACAATAAAACCTTCTAATGTATTGACTAATCTACTTAGGAATGATTTCTGACTTCCAACTCTATTTGAGTCTTTCTCCACAGCTAGTTACACCTTCCTCAAGGTCTTCTTCAATGACGTGTTTGCAACCCTTGTTCCTGCATTAACATTCTCAAAATCTAGACCATATATAGTGATGGACAATAAATCCACCGAATGATCCAATTCAGAAGAATGGATCACAAGAAATAAAATAAGAACAAGAACTCGAGAATTGTGTGTGTATTATTAGCTTGATTCAGCTTGAGGATCCCCCATTCGAGTCTCCTTTATTTATACATGGTTTCTTGAGTAATTAAGGTAATTCACAACCAAAAGGAAGCCTTATCCGCCAATGGCGCGATCCCCTTTTTCCGGCTAAGTTCCCGCCTTCAGCTGAGTCTCCTCCCGTAGATTGACTCTTCCAGCTGTCTCTTGAGTTAGGTTGGTTTGGGCCCCGTGTCTTGGGTCGGCCCAAATTCAAGCCTTCAAGCATGCTTGGCCCGGCGCCTTTTGGGTAAGGTATTTGGGCCACCCGCTGGATATCGACCCATCACAAGCCCCCCAACTCCTCATTCCTCAGACGGGCCACGTTGAAGGATGAGGAGTTTACGAAGTCCACGTGGGCGCCCCCTCAACGGATCTGAGCCGTTCCTTGGGTTTTGCGTGACGTTTGGCACGATCTCCATTAAAAGCAATCATGGCATGTTGTTTCGCCTACCAACCTTCTGATAAAACCGCCGCTGGACGCCATTCTTCCCTACCTGCTACACTTCCTTCTTCACTTGCTCTTCCGCCGTTACCCGACCCATTTTTCTTCTAACTTCGGGTCAGTTCCCCCTTTTACCATCATGATTGTCTCTGATTCTGACTCGGCTTCTCTGTCGTCCAGTTCTCGTCAAGCCGGTCACTCGGCCTCTGACCATGACCAAGGTCAGACCGATTCTTCTCAGCCATCGCCGGCGGCCGTTCCTGGCCAAAAGCTGCGCCGGCTGAGGAAGCAATTCCCCTCCTTGACCTCGGTGCTGAAGGGCAAGAGGGCCAGATTGGATGAGAACATCATGGCATTGTGCCATTGTCAAATTATTGACCATGGGTTCACCGACGCCACTGACATGATCGGGCCTTCTATTGAGTCCTACGGCCCACTAGAACCCAGACCGCCCTGGATGCTCCCTTGCCAACTGGTCCCCAATTCTTACCGGTATATCGTCAGTTACTTGATCAAGTGCAAGGAAGTGGGGGTGAAGCCCACCTTTGACCATTTCCTTTTTACCTTCAAACTGGACAAAGGTCATGGGGATTGGGCGTCCTACGCCAGCCTTTCCTAGCAATCCAGCAAACTCTTCACTAGCGACAAGAAAGGGTCGACCAAGGGCCCTAATCTCCTTTCACGGGTTCAGGGCTCCCATGCTTCCATCGCGTTCCGTGTCCCCAATCCAACGCCACCCTCCTATCAATCACCCAGAAACTCTGCGGCCAAGGGGTCATTGAGATTAAGAAGGTGGTAACCAAGGAATCTCTAGCAGCGCTCGGGTTTGAGTTTGTCCAAGATGAGCATCGCCATCAGCCTGACTTGCTAAGGGACTTCCCCGGGGGGAGTGTTGATTGTGGCCCTTTTGGTAATTTTTTTTCATTATGGATCTCAATTTTATCTCTTCGGTACTAACTGTTCCATTTGTTTTTAGTCGAGCAAGAAGGGTTGGAAGAAGAGATGGAGGGTGATCTCTTGATCGGTCACTTCATTGCGGGGAGGAAGAGGAAGAGGGATGCAGCCCGGCAGAGCAGGAGCAAGCGTTCTTCCTCGCGCGGCGAAGATAACCCCCAGCAGGAACAAGTCGTGATCGAGGTGGAAGATCAGGGCGACGTGGTTCCGGAAACGAGGATGATGGCGATCAACTCCCTACCGCGTTCCCTGACGCTCGGGGGCGACCTGGCAGGGTCATCGTAGAAGGCCCTCTCGGAGCAACCTCGCTCCCCACCCGCAGTGACCTACGAGGTTGCGACCGAGGATTGCTCGATGAGGTTTAGCATTCCTCCCCCGTCCCCAAGTGTAGGAGACGTACAGCTGGAGACCTTGGTCACCCTCCCCGCTCAAGACCGAGCTCGCATCTCGGCCGGTTCTGATGATGACCTCAGAAGACAGTGAGGCATTCTCCACTTCCAGTTTGGCGGAGCGACTCTTCTCCCCCTCCAACTCTCTCGCAAGGCGGGTGACCTCATCATGCAACTCCCTCTGCTTGTCTTCTACAGTTTTCTTCGCCTCATCCATAGCCGCTTGGCGATCCTGCCTCCGGCCGACGAGCTCGATCATCCCCAGCGTGGCCTGAACAGGGGCATAAGGAATCAGGGATGTATTGTAATACCCCAAAACATACCCTAAAATTTTTAATAAATAAATATTCAATTAGTCAAATTTGTTTCGATTAAAATAAATAGTTATTGGGATTTGGGCCGAAATGAAATGTGTTTTGACATCCAATATCACAAATCAGGATAAGTCTCATAGAGATAAATCCAATATGTTGAGTATTTGTGTGGTCTTGATTGGGAACATAAGTACAGACCCAAATCAAGAATAAATAAAGAAATTATTTATAATATGAAATTTAAAATGATTTATTGATATAAATCATAAGAACAAATGATATGAATTAAATGTGAGAACCTTTTTGAATAAAGGTCAAACAACCATTTATGAACCATTTATGAACATAAAAACAACCATTTATGAAGACTAGAATGTTCAGAAATACGAATATAGCACTTTAATAGGCTTATAATACGCAAAATAGCAGTGCTATAAGTTTTTGAGATGAATTCCCAATATTACCCTTAATTAAAATTTTTTTTATTATATATACACTGCCACAATATATCTACACTGCCACAATATATCTACACTGCCACAATATATCTACACTGCCACAATATATACAATGCCATAATGTTAGCCACAATATGTACTTCCAAAAATTCAATGTCTGAAATATACTGCCACAATATATGCACTGCCAAAAATTCAATGTCTAAAATACAATGCCACAATATATACACTGCCACAATTCGGGCAATCACAGAGCATACTTCTCATAGTTTCTAAAAAAATATTTTAGTTTGTTTATGAACAAAATTAAATAAATATACCTTCTGAGAAGAACAAGGATTCTGAGATTTTTGAGCAAATTCATGCTGATAACGTGTTGTAAAATGAGAGAAAAACTACTCAGAGATTAAGAAAATAGATATAATATAATACACTGCCACAATATATACACTGCCACAATATATCTACACTGCCACAATATAT